AACAGGGAACTGCTGCTTTTTCTTTCCTGATCCTTACTATTGTCTTTTTCCTCTACTTCCTTTGTATGCTTGTCACTCTCTTGTGACTGACCTGCTATTTCCGGGGTGCCTTGATAGTCGAAGCAGACTTTGTGCTGTTGAAGCTAGAGAGGTGAGCAGTCTGAGTCTGATTCCCTGTAAAGACTTCTCTGTTGACACCCACCCCTTGGCGCTCATATGACCTTACGCTGTTGCGAGCGCCGTAAAACCCTCTACTATTAAAAAGAGTTTTACGGCGCTTGCAACTGCTTAATAAGGTCATAAGAGCGCGCGAAACACAAGTTGGTTGCATTCACAACAGTTCACTGTACGGCTTGGTTTACGCCAATATTTCGATTAAAGTGTTAAAAACTTGTGGTAAAATAGGAGTTAAAAGATATTTGAAATAAAATTAGAATAACACTATCTACAATTTATTGTAAAGGCCAAATTGAAGGCCAATTGAAGGCCTTCATAAAATCGAGAATTTTGTTGGGATCAACGACGGAGAACAGATCTTGCAATTTATTGCATTTAAAATACTTTATAACCACCACCAACACCACCACACCAGCACCACCAACAGCAACAACAATAAAACAACAACAACAACAACAACAACAACAACAACAACAACAACAACAATTACAACAACAACAACAACAACAACAGCAACAACAGCAACATCAGCAACATCAACAACAGCAACAACAGCAAAATTAACAACAAGAACAAGATCAACAATAACTGAAACAACAAAAACAACAACAACGACAACAGCATTCAGTTACATCACCATCGTGTTTACTCTGTCATCGGTCAATATTAAGCCTCCCAGTACACCTGTCCTAGAGAAGAATAATGACAACGACATCAACAACAACAAAAATAACAACAGCAATAGCAAAAACAATAACAGCAACAACAACGATAACTAGCATTCAGTTACATCACCAACGTGTTTACTCTGCCATCGGTCAATATTAAGCCTCCCAGTACACCTGTCCTCGAAAAACCTCACCCTGGCGCTCATATGACCTTATGCAGTTGCGAGC